GCGATCAGCACGGATCAGCTCCAGGCATGACGAAGCGGATATCGTTCTCTTTTGGAAGACCAAACAAAGTAGTTTCGCTTTCACAACGAAGCACACAGCGTCTTCACGACATGGCTGCAGCGTCAACAATACTACAGTGAGAATAAAAGTTACGCCTTCTTTCTTTGCGTGAACATTTGGGCGGCGTTATGCAAATCTTCCCACATAGTGAGGTAGATATGTGGGGGTGTGTTAGAACCAGCCGTTTTAGGTAGGTGGACTGACTCTGAACTTTTATAAAGAATATCTCTTTGGATTTGAGACTTTAGTCTTTGCAACTTTACAGATCTTCTTTATGCAGCAAGAGCTTGTAACACTCCAAATAGAAAGGAAAAATTGAAATCGCATCATATAATCCCTTTAAAAGTTCATTGACCCTAATCTGAACCTTATTTTATCTGAGCACAGCTATGCGAAGAACTACCACGAGGAGGCGCTAAACACCACTTAATTGTAAACACGTTAATGCAAGTGCGTTCTTCAGTTTATGCTTATAAAACATGTAGACCGACTCAACAGGTATCCACAACTGGGATACCTGTGCATATGATACATATATTTTCCATTTCCGTCATGTCCTCTCGTGTTATGCTCAGTGCATATATTTAACAAAGACTTGCCGTCTTTACCTCAGAACACTTACGCGCGCGCCTTACGTGTTTTACCAGTTGCATGATCCTGATGTCATAATTTGAACATCTCCAGTGAATGCTTTACAGGTAGAGATGGGAGAAATGCCCCTAGAACTCCGTAGGTTACAGTTGAGGATGAGATATTGGGCTGGTGTAAAGGGTCACTCAGAATATCATCCAGTTAAAAATCTTTTGAAAGATTGTTGGGAGTATGACTATAAAGATTTAGAGAGCTTCGGTTGGACAGTAAAGAAGGAGGCAGATAGATTAGGGTTGAATAAATATGAAAATAATCCTTCTGTAGCTATTCCAGTGGTTCCACCGTGGTTGTTTCCAATGCCTTTGATTGACTTTCAAATACAAAAAGAAATAAATGAAAAGGAGAAGATCATTCCTATAAATATAGTAGTTCAACAGTATATAAATCAAGCATATTATTCACAGTTACAGATATATACGGATGGGTCGAAGGATCCTGAATCTGGAAGGACAGCAGCAGCAGTATATATTCCTGCATTTAAAATAAAAATAGCCAAAAGAATATCAGATCATTTGTCTGTTTTTACTACAGAATTAATAGCAATTATATTAGCACTACAATGGATTGAAGAAATACAACCAAATAATATTGTAATATGTACAGATTCAATGTCTGTTCTAACAAGTCTAGTGAGTGGTAAATCTGCAGCACGGCAAGATTTAATATATGAAGTATTACAGTACTTGTTTAGAATTAGACAATCAGGGATAATGGTATACTTCCTATGGGTACCGGCTCATACTGGGGTGGAGGGAAATGAGGAAGTGGACTGCTTGGCTAAGATGGCTCTGAAGCACTCACATAGTGAAATTAATATAGCAATTAGTAAATCTGAAATCAAGAGAATTATATCAATTGAAGTAAGAAAGATATGGCAAAAGTTATGGGATAGTGGAATAAAAGGAAGGCATCTTTACCAGATACAGGGGTGTGTAGGTGAAGAGAGAATAAGATGTGGGAGTAGGAAGAAAGATGTTATTATAACAAGAATGAGGATTGGACATTCAGCTTTAAATTTCAATTTACACAAAATAGGGAAGCATGAAAATGGAAGATGTGATAAATGTGGGAATCCAGAAACAGTAAAGCACATTCTTCTAGAATGTGATGCGTATGAAAGAGAAAGAAATCAACTTAATCATAAATTAGGTTTGATGGGATATGATAAAGTATCACTCAAGATATTACTAGGGAATAGACAAATGCAATCAAGAATTAAAGAAGAAGTGTTCAATTATCTAAAAAAGACAGGAAATATGGAAAGAATATAAATTGTAATAGTGGTATTTTTTGTTTTACCCTTTTTTTTTTTTAACTATAAATAAATAAATTTAAAAAAAATTCAATATACATATCCTTCTCTCTACCAAATCTGTTCACTCCACACTCCAGATCAGTAGGTGGCGGTAATGAAGTTGGTTTGCCAAAACACATCAGAAGAAGAAGAAGAAGAAACATAACTCACGATACATTTACGACACTGTCGGCAGCGGTAACCATAATAACAGGTAGAGAACGCTTTCCGACAGAAAATGGCGACTTACATATGAGGACGTGAAGTAAGAAGTACTCGGCAATGACATTTTAGTTATTACTTATGTTCTAATATTAGGCTACGTTTCTTTCTTATTTTGGATTTAATGTTTGTACCGTCTCGGGAGGAGACATTATAGAAAGGCGATGAGTGGATCTGTGATTCAAGAGAAGGTTGCTAAACTCTTAAGCAGACAGAATGGAAAACCCGTACTGAGACCCATCAAACCTCTGGCGCTGAAGAATGAAGTCGCCAGCCGCAAACTGAAGAAAGGAGGTTAGGACCTTTTTTTTTCCCATTGAACATGTATGTGAATGTATGTGCACAAGAGCTGGCGCTCTCTCTGGCAGCGGCACGTATTTAATCATTTATAATTGATATATAATTATTCATGAAATTTTCGTGCGCTCGAAATACTTTTTTCTTTGCGAAACGAACGTTTTCTTCACAAAACTCAGATCGCGTGCGTGCAAAATGCACTTTTGTGCGCTCAAAATATGATCTTTCGCGCGCAGAATTGTGGCAGAGATCTAAGCCTATGCTTCTCAAACGGAAGGCTGCATCCTAAAATGCAGATGATCTCAGTACCGACTCCTTTTCTTTCAGTTTATTTTCGTGAATTTAAATGTGTGCAGCCTTCCGTTTGAGAGGCACCCATAGATAAGCTTTGTTGAACTGAAAAGGGCTCTGAATGAGGAGTCGATTCCCCTTGTCGACTCTCGATTCCCAACGATTCGGAATCGATTCCCAGCCCTAGTTCGTGGCAGCTTACCACTAGTCGTTTCTGACAGCTGCCACGGTCTTTCTCGCCGTTTTTACTGTTTGCTCGGTAAAAAGCAGAGTTTACACGTCACGTTTTGGTAACGGTACGGTTCGCTTGGAACCCCAAACGAGGTGGTACTAAAAAAAAAGTACCAGGTACTGTACCCAGTGGAAAACCCCCCAAAAGTGAACCGTACCATGTAGTGAGCACTGAGGGCGGCCATCAAGGGAGCAAGCTAGTGAAACGTTGCACGCGCAAAAGAGAAGGTCTGCACACATCCAAAAACTTATTTTAAATGCAAAATTTTGTTACTGTTTGCTCGTTAAAACTACACTGTTCTCAGTGGCGTGCGGTGGAGTTTTTTAAAAATGATGATGCAAAGTTCCCACAATTGTATTATTATTATACATTTTTATGTATCAGCTGCATATATCCTAAATTAAAAAAATAAAAGACTCTGTCTTCCTTTTTATTTATTCCTTCCCTTTCTAGCTTGTACGTATTTGAACAATGCCTAAAACTTGGTATTACAAGCACTTCCTGTGTCTGTTTGCCTCTTTAAGAAGAATCGCTTTATGTATTCCCCAATTGTAAGTCGTTTGGATAAAAGCGTCTGCAAAATGACTAAATGTAAATCTAAATGTAGCTGCCAGAGAGTCCAGGAGTCACCGGCAGCTGCCACGGTCTTTCTCGCCGTTTTTGCTGTCTGCTCGAGTTCGGTAAAGTTAGCAAGATATTCACAGATTCGACTTTTCCGGATCAATAAATCACGAGCAAAACGTTTTAAATTGTTCGGTGTCTGTTAGTTTCTTGGCTTCTTCTTCTGGCCTGCTTTAGATCGAAACTGTTAACATTACAGAATTTACATTAAGTTTTGTTTATTCGCCTACATTGCCTATTGATCCTTTTTCGAAGTGTTGAATGTATGTGATACTTTTATGCATATTTGTGAAATATTACGTATAATATTTCTAAATGGAGTGTAAAGGTTATCTGTTTAGCCTTTAAAAGCCTGAAAATATTAATACGGAACAGTTTATTGAACCAATAAATTAAAAAAAAATTCGTGTCGTATTTGATACATCAGACTTTTATGGCCCAAGAAGTAGTATGTTATAGTGAGATTATATAGCACACATTCGCGAAGGGGAAAACACTTGTTTTATACAAAGGCCCAAACTGAGCAAGTACATATCTGCTGTAGATATTATTGTTTATATGGCCAAAATAAATAAATAAAATAAACTTGTAATGAAAATCAATTAGACGGATTATGATCAAAGCTCGGTTGTTTTAATTGTGGGGGAAAATACAGTATATAATATATAATGCAATGCAATACAATGATGCTGGAGCGATGTACAAATACACCTTCAGTCCGGTAAATGTTCATCTTGAAATATTAATAACAAAATAAAAGTTATAATTACATGTAGTTTATATAAGTTGTTAAAGATTTTACAGCAAAATGATGTGTACCACCACCTGAAATTGGATATTTTTAGAATTAGTAAAAGGCCTTGCTAAAATCAGGCATGTAGTAGATTGTGTAGAACAGGTTTTCCAGCAAAGTTTTGATCATGTTAATTTAGAAGCCTTAGAAATTCATATATCAAATATGATATGCAAGGCTTTATATGGTTGGTTAAACATTGTGCTTGCTAGAAAACAATCTCAGATTTATATCTAACTACAGTTTTAACATCAACTAAAGTCAGCTGTAGTTCAATTAAAAAAATATTTTTTTAAGCATGAAGATACATTTAGCACTTATACATTCATTAAAAGTACCTTAGTGTCACTCAGTCTCCATTTTGAAAAGTAACTGATTGGCTAAAGTAAAATGATGAGCATGCACTAAAATTATTTTTGCTTCTCTAGATGGGACAGGAAATACAAATGATGCTGGTTTGCTTTTTAAGGCAACTTCGAAGGGCTGTTGTAATGCATTATTTTTGCTGAACTCTTACATGGTGATACACACACTCTTTGTTACAGAGGCCACCTGTGTAACGGAAATGTCATTGCTGATGGCTTGCTGGAAACAGAATGACTTCAACAACACAGTCTGTTCTAAAGAAGTCTCAGTCTTCTACACATGTGTTGAAAAGGTAACTCCCAGTCCTCAGGAAATCCTCTGTAAAACAGCCTACTGATAGCGGACAGTAGTTTAACATCCTTAAAGGGATAGTTCACCCAAAAATGAAAATTCTGTCATTAATTACTCACCCTCATGTCATTCCAAACCCGTAAGGCCTTCGTTCGTTCATCTTCAGAACACAAATTAAGTGAGGGTAAGCATAAACAGCAAAGCAGCTGACACGTTCAAGGCCCAGAACGGTAGTAAGGACTTCAATAAAATGCCCATGTGACATCAGTGGTTCAACCGTAATGTTATGAAGCTACGGGAATACATTTGTGCACAAAAAATAACAAAAATAACGACTTTAGTCATGGTACTCTCGTGAACGGCAGCGGAGACTGACGCGGAAGAGTGAAGTCGTGATTTTTTCTTTGCGCACAAAGTATTCTCGTAGCTTCATAACATTACGGTTGAACCACTGACTATGGACTATTTTATTGAAGTCCTTACTACCTTTCTGGGCCTTGAACGTAATAGGTCTGTTGCTGTCTATGCAGGGTCAGAAAGCTCTCGGATTTCATCAAAAATATATTTGTTCTATATTTGTGTTCTGAAGATGAACGAAGGTCTTATGGGTTTGGAACGACATGAAGGTGAGTAATTAAATGACAGAATTTTAATTTTTGGTGAACTATCCCTTTAATTAACATGGTTTTGATGAATACATGGGAATGGGTAATTAGGATGTACAACCAGATAGATTTTCTCTGCCAGGTTATGGCGAACACACTTCCCACTTTGCAATGCAGTTTCCTGTTTATGGCATCCTCACGCATCTAGTGTGATCAAGTTTCTGTTAGTGTCTCCTCTACAGCTTGAAAGCTGGTTGGAATGACTTCTCTTAAAGCCTTTGAATCTTAAATGCAATAGTTATTTTTATTTAACATTGTTTCCTAATTTCACTTCTTACAGGCGCAGAACAAGGCCAAAGGAAAGCAGGGAACCCAGGGTCGACTTTTGCCTAAAGAAGCCAACACCTTATTAAAACGATTTCCCAACCTGAGCAGTGAGATCTAGGACCAGTAACACAGATTAGTCAAAGAATGGACACTTTTATTGTCTGAGCTGTATAGATGAGCACTTTAGTCTGAGTGTATCTGACTGGGCCGAGCAGTTGATGAGAACGGGGTGTGGAAAGGTTTTCTAAAAAAAGAAAAGAAAAAAAAACCTGCAATGAAGTTTGCCAAAAACACATCAGCGGATGCTCACAAAAGCAAATGAACTGCATTCGCAAGGTTTTGAAGGCACTTTTGGTTATTACTACATTACTGCACTCCTGTAGGTCATCTCATCAAAACAGTACAAAGGAACAAACACTGGTCCCTTCACACACTTAAAGGGATAGTTCACCCAAAAATGAAAATCTGTCACCCTTTCCTCATCTTCATGTCTTCTTTTGTGTTCAGCAGATGAAAGAAAGTCATACAGATTTGTAATGACGTGAGGGTGAGTAAATGATGATAGACTTTTCATTTTTGGGTGAAGTGTCCCATTTAATAATTTTGTAATTTGTGTTATTGATGTTTGACTATACCAATGTTACTTCTTGGATAATCTGAATGTTATCGTATTACTTTTCTAAATCTCCCCTGCATAACTGAGCTGTGACTTGTAAAACCCAGCAGTTTATTTTAATTTTTTTTCCTGTTTCATGCTGTGTCCACAATATAATTAGTCTCAGCCATTTTCAATTATCAGAAAATGGAGATCAAGGGAGAAGTACTCGGTGCCGGATCACGTTACATGCCAGGATAAATTGTATTGAATTTGACCATGAGGGCTCTGGAATAAAGATAGAAATAACTCATTATTAAACAAATTAACTTACAAATAATTCACTTTCTGTTCCGATGTTATTTATGTTTTGTTTGATTTGAAACATTGATAAACTTTGTGACTATGAATTAGTTTAGTTCTCTTAATGCAATTTAACCATAGCCATCCTGTGATAACACTGTCCACCATTTCCTTAGGCTGATTATCTACAATTGTCTGCAACGTAATGTGTTTAGACCCCAAAGGAAATGCCGTCTGCTGTAAGTCTAAACCAGGGCTGTCCAAACTCGGTCCTGGAGGGCCGGTGTCCTGCATAGTTTAGCTCCAACGCTAATTAAAAACACCTGAACCAGCTAATCAAGCTCTTACTAGGCATACTAGAAACTTCCAGTCAGGTGTGTTGAGGCAAGTTGGAGCTAAACTCTGCAGGACACCGGCCCTCCAGGACCGAGTTTGGACAGCCCTGGTCTAAACTTTGCTCAATCACGACATTGCAAATTTGCACAGTTGTCAACAGCACAAACTTCAAAAATAAATGAAGTAACAATGAACAGCTAAAAATACTTTAGGAAAAGACAGCTACAGCTGTGCAAAAAGGTGCTACCATGTCAATGCTTCTCAGATTTAATTTAAAATACGTTATGGTGGCAGTGATGACCTTTGACCTCAACCTGTTATGTTTACTAGGCATTTGATGTTATATACAGTAAACCATTCCAGTCTTCAGTTCCTTGAGCATGTATATAAATAAACCAGATTAACACCCCAGAACAGAGTGTGGGTGAATGCCAAACAATGCAGCCACTCCTCTGAGCATCAGATAAGAGATACAACTATTATCACTTGTTTTTATAGCTCCTTGATGCCTGATAAAACATGGTTGTTTTAATCAAATCTACAATTTCTTACATTGCATGTATGACGTAATCTGTGAATGATGTAGAGGCCAAATCCATCTCTTAGCAAGATTAGAAAACATGTTATTTCTCTTTATGTGTGTAGACCAACTCAATTTTGGACACAAATAAACTGATCCTACAGATGAATTAATTTAAGTATAGGTGAATTATGTTTATCATATGAATAACGTGTGTAGTTGTGCTCAGGTTAAAAGGAGACTTTGATCTTTTACTAAATTATGAGTATGTGATTCAGGTACAGGTGCATCTCAATAAATTAGAAAGCCAAAATCATCACAACTAAAAGAACCAAAGACTTAAACTACTTCAGTCTGTGTGCATTGAATTTATTTAATACACGAGTTTCACAATTTGAGTTGAATTACTGAAATAAATGAACTTTTCCACGACATTCTAATTTATTGAGATGCACCTGTATTGTTAACTTCTATTGAAGCTATGAATGGTGAACAATGTGGAATGAGGTTTATTCAAGTGTCTGTGTACACAGGTGAACAATGGAAGACAAGGTGAGCTTAACCACCTGTATACTGAGCCTCTTTTTCATATGATATTCATAAAACCCAAGACATTTAAAAGATTGTCCAAGTGGTTAATAATATCCACCTTATCAACACATGCCATTTGTCCTATGTTAGGGAGTTTTCAGGAGTTATGGAAAATAATTCCTTGTCTGTCTGTTTCATATTTGCTATGTGACCACAAAAGGTCTGTTTTTTCTATTTTTAAGCTTTAGGCACATTTTTGGGGGGTGCTGTACAAGGGTCTGTTGAGTTATTAAAAAATCTATTCAAAAAAGCATTTCATGCAGATAATAACTTGATTTTTTTTATATGATGGATATGTTTTAATTCAAATAGGTCCTGTATGATACACTCTCATGACAATTCATAACTATTTTGCGTTTTGACAAATTGGTGGTTAAATCATATGCATTCATACAATATCTCTTGTACATTTTTGTATGGTCTGCTTATGCCCTACTGACGGATGGGTTTGGGGGTGTAACTTAATGCTTACCTTTTCCCTAAAAATTGTATGTTTCTGTACAAATCGCATTGTACGAATTCACCTTCTCATAAATTAGTTATACGTTTTTTTACCGTTTTTTTCTCATTAAAATCTTATTAAAAGGCTGCAATTCTTGGAAGGGAAAAAGCCTACAAGTAGTTTGACAGTCTTTGAAAGTTGTGATGAAACTGAAGTAGTGACAGATCTTTCCTATCTTACCTTACATCCAAGTGTAAGAGATTTTCAGAAAAAAAAAAAACTAGGGCGAGGGTGTGGTTCTATTCATAAGTTGTTAATTGGATTTTGGGCTTTCCACTCAAAAGTGGAGGCAGATGATCATGACCTGGTGGGGTTTAAGTGGAGTAAATGACTGGAGAAGTCCTGCATATGCCACCAGAGAGATGTGTCGTTTCCACAGGAAGATCCAGTTATGATATTTTGATGGTCAAAAAAAAACATGATGAATTACAATGAACAGATGAATAGCTCACAATAAGATCTATAACATGCATTTTGAAGGGTGAATTTTCGTTCTTTTTCAATTTTAGTGCTATTCTAATATGTTTTAACTTTATGTTTGTCATAGGTGATTACTATTAAGAATGATGCCAATTATAAACTTTGGGCAAAGTTGTTTGGCCCAATGCTTCAATGCTATTTATTAATTAAATTGGCAGTAACGCAGTTTTCTTTTCTTTACTGTATTTATTTATTTAACCTTTGTCCGCAGAATAAACATTTTGTTGACTTTTTATAAACTAGTAAAAAAAACTCAATAGTTACTAGTGAAATTGCAGAAGATAGTCACTATTGGATTTCCAATTAAAACTAAGGATTAGTAACAAAAGCAGATGCTAGTTCGCTTAAAGGAATAATTGTTAAAACGGCTTGCCATAAGGGGCCAACCACTCCGCACTGTGATCCATAAATGTTTATGTCCTATAATCATCTGTAACGTGTACTGTGTTGAAGGCTGCTGGAGCGGCGTCTCTTCTTTCAGTGTCACCTCATATACTGAACGCAAAGCTCAGTCAGAGTGTCAGTCGTGTCGGTGGACTTTTGAAGTTTACATGATGTTGTTTTGTTCTGTCTCATCATTTTCGAGGTTTCTTCTTTCGTACATAAATTTGTAAACAATTTGAGGCAGGAAAAGGCGTCCCACTTTCCCTGTGTGCCCGCGGACAGCGATGATGGGACAGTTGTGCTGGGTGTATAGTCAATGACAGGATGGATATCGGCGGGATCCTCTCTATTGCTGCTGTCCTTCTTTTCTCTGTCACTGTCTACGGCGAGGTATGTAAACGCAGTTTTATTTTTTTTGCTTTATTGACCTATGCATACCTAGTCAGCTGAGTTAACAAAAAGGCAAACTGGCTGTGATTTGTCCTGAAAAAAATTACGAAGAACTCCTGACTGACGTGGGGGTTTTAGAGGAGTTAAGACAGCGGGGGAAAAAAGCTAATGTGATGACAGTGGTTTCCCCCCACTGTACTGGGCTATAAAATGGCATTGTACATTTTTCTTCTTCTAAATAAGTAGTTCGAATGGAAGGCGACACGGGAATGAATTATGATCGTGCATGTTATGACGCTTTGACGCCTTCACTTACTCTGTGTGACATTAACGCCTTGAAAGTGTGGTTATTTTTTACAATTGGCATTATCTTGTGCAGTCTTTGTTAATTTTTGTGGCCGAGGTGTACTTTGCCCCGAATCAATTTCAGCTCTATAACTGATCTAAATAATTACGAGACAATGAGAACTGTACATATTTACGTCCCTTATGAATCTGTTTCCATAATATCTTGAGTTATTTATGTGTTTTTATTTATTCCCTTTTTGATAAAATAAAATAAAAACTTAAACTGGCTTAAGTTGCTGTGCTGGTTTTAGCTGGTTTAAAATGAGCTTGAGCTGTTCTGTAGCAGCATGAAAAGCTGAAAATTGGGCAACAGACCAGGCTGGTTTAAGATGTTTCAGCAGGCATATATTAATAAAATAAACAAAAGATTAATGAAAATAATAAAACACAACATAATAATCCCTAACTACCTTCACTTGGGAAAATATACCTACTTAAGCATTACGTATCATGTGCCGGATAAGTTCACCAAAAAAAAAAAAAGCTTAAAAATTCTGTCTTTTAGTCATTTTGGGTTTTGGTATTAGAGTAAGGCTTTGTAATATTGTCAAGAATATCTAAAATAAAAAAATTAAAACATGTTTTCAGTTTTATGTAGTGTTTTTTTTTTTCTTGAAGGTCTTTAAATCTGTTGTACAAAAAAACAAGGATCACAGGGGGGTGTCATTTCCTAGGACAAAGACAGTTAACGTGTGCATGATTTTAGTTTTGTGTGTGTGTGTGTGTGTGTGTGTGTCTACTTAATTCTGAGTCTCTTGTAATGTATCTCATTTGTATTTAATCCCTGTTGAAGGG